TGGTATTCTGGAATAGGAATGGGCATGAACCGGTTTACAAGCCAAAATTTGGGCTGAACTTGAGTCAGTTCAGAGCTCTGGAACCGATGTTTGGGGAAGCTGCATTCCCTGAAGATTTACTGGACTTTTGGCCAAATCATAAGAACATAAGAGAAGCCATGTTGGATCAGGCCAATGGCCCATCCAATCCAACACTGTGTCACACAGTGGCCAAAAATACCTGGTGCCATCAGGAGGTCCACCAGTGGGGCCAGGACACTAGAAGTTTCAGTTCAGCTGTTCGGGGCCAGCCAAGGGGGGGCTGGCAGCCATTTAACCCTTCAGCCCCCCCCCCCCAAAGTGGCGGGGAGGGACTTCCCAGCCGATCCCCACCCTCTTTCTCCCGGCAGCAGTGAGCCTTGGCCAGGATAAAGGGGGGAAAGGAAATCCTGCCCCCCATTTCCCTAGCTGCAGCAAGCTGTGGCCAGGAGGAAGGTGGATGGGATGTCCCTTCCAGAGCGATTCCCACCCCCTTTCTTCTGGCTACCCCAAGCCACGGCTGGGAGAAAGATTGAAGTCCCTTATTGGGTCATTCCCCACCCCCTTTCTCCTGGCTGCAGCAAGCCACAGTTGGGACAAAAGGTGAAAGGGAAGTCTCTTCCAGAACAATCCCTGCCCCCTTTCTCCCGGCCTCCGTGAGACACTGCCAGGAGAAAGGGGGAAGTCCCTTCCTGGGCTATCCCCGCCCCCTTCCTCCCTGGCTGCAGCAAGCCACGGCTGGGAGCAAAGTGGAAGGGAAGTCCCTTACCAGGGGATCTCTGCTCCCTTTCTCCCTGCCACTGCGAGCCACAGCTGGGAGAAAGGTGAAAGGGACGTCCCTTCCGCCACGGCCAGGAGAAAGGGGGAACCAAACCTGCCGGACAGGTTCAGTTCGGACCACCTTTTTTATGTTCATACCCATCCCTATTCTGGAACATTAGGCCTTGTCCGTAAGACTCTGCCCCAGAGGATGCAGGTGAAACAGACCTGCTCTTTGGAGTCCGCTGGCAAAGAACCGCACTGATGGCTCCTCCATGACATTGTCTCCTGCAACAAACGTCCACCACGTTGCGCTTGGGCCAGGCCAACGCTTTCCTCGCTCTCCATGTGCTCTTTTAACTCGGGTATTCTTTTCAGTCTGCAGTAGGCTTTCCCCAGTCGAGCTGCTCTTTCTTCCGACCCTGGCTGTTCCTGCCTGTCTTCTGTTAGCAGGTCAGGAAGGAGACTGAAACAGACTGAGAGACGACCTTTATATTAATTCTGAACAAGCACTAATTTTTTTTTTTGTCACTTAATGACGGAGGCATTCTTCAACTGCACTGATAACCAAGATTTTGACACTCTCTCTCTCTCTCTCTCTTTCTCTCCCTCTCTCCCTCCCTCCCTTTCTTCCTTCTAGCAGGTGACTGGGATGAAGTGGAATACTACAAGAAGCTCTCTGAGGTGTCACTGGAAACAACCACACGTGGAGCAGAGGAAGAGACCTTTGGGACTCAGGAGGGATCAAGGAGGAAGACGGGGAGAGATAAATCCATTGCTGGACAGAGTGGTGAGATCCACGAAATATCAGTCCAGGAAGAACATCACGAACGAAATAAGAGCCCTTTGGCTGAGAGAGCATTCCACTGCACACTCATCCTTAATCCAACTTGCAAAACCCAAACGGGAGAGAATGCGTTCAAGTGCTGGGAGTGTGGAAAGAACTTTGCTAACAACCTCAGCCTTAAGGCGCATCAAAGATCCCATATGACAGAAAAGCTCCATAAACGCTCAGGGTGTAGCGACAGTTTTTCTGATAAGTTGTGTCTTATTGAGCATCACCAGATTCACACAGGGGAGAAGCCAACTAAAAGACCAGAGTGTGGAAAGCGTTTCAGTAATAGGGGGAAGCTTGTCAAACATCAATCCACTCACTCAGGCAAGAAACCATATAAAGCTGGGAAATGTGGGAAGCGCTTCAGACAGTGCGAGCAACCAAGAATCCGCAGAAGGGAAAAGCCACATAAATGCACAGAATGTGGAAAGGACTTCAGATACAGTTCTTCATTGACTGTACACAAAAGAATCCATTCAGGAGAGAGACCATATCACTGCTCAGACTGCAGCTGCAGTTTTTCTGACAAGCTAACATTTGTTAGACACCTGAGAATCCACACAGGGGAAAAACCATATGAATGCTTAGACTGCAGAAAGACCTTCCGTTTGAGTTCGCAGCTCAGTGCACATCAAAGAACCCACACAGGGAAAAAACCATACAAGTGCTTGGAGTGTGGGAAAAGTTTGACTAGTAGCGGAGGCCTTATTTCACATCAAAGAATTCACACAGGAGAGAAACCGTATAAATGCTTGGAGTGTGGAAAGAATTTCAGACACAGCTGTGGCCTTGCTTCTCATCAAAGAATCCACACAGGGGAAAAGAACTACAAATGCCCAGTGTGTGAGAAGAGCTTTCGATGGAGCACAGCTCTCACTAACCATCAAAGAATCCACACAGGGGACAGACCATACAAATGCTTGGAATGTGGGAAAGGCTTCACCTGTACCTCACACCTTACCTCTCATCGAAATAGTCACACTGGGGAGAAACCATATAAATGTGCCGAATGTGGAAAGTGTTTCAGCCAAAGCTCAGGTCTCAATACACATCGAAGAAGACTGCACAATGGGGAGAAACTGTATGAATGCTCAGAGTGTGGAAAGAGCTTCAAGCTGAGCGAGTCCTTAACCCAACATCAGAGGATACACACAGAGGAGAAGCCACACAAGTGCTTTGAATGTGGAAGGACATTTAGATTCAGCACAAGCTTACAGTCACATGAAAGAACCCACACAGGAGAGAAGCCCTATAAATGCCTGGAGTGTGGAAAGAGCTTCAGGCAGGGCTCACACCTTAGTCAACATCGAAGAATTCACACAGGTCTGAAGCCATACAAATGCTTAGAATGTGGGAAGCGCTTCCGTGTGAGTTCAGGCCTTACCAGTCATCAAAAAACTCATACAGGAGAGAAACCTTATCAATGCTTGGTGTGTCAAAAAAATTTCGCCCATCGTGCACATCTTTTAGTACATCAAAAAGTTCACACAGGGGAAAAACCGTATAAGTGTCCCGAATGTGGAAAGACCTTCAAACACAGCAGAAGTCTTACTTATCATAAAAGAACTCACATAAGCAAGAAATCCATATAAAGGAATGTGGAAAGACCTGTGCTAACAAAGTACACCTTAAGCATAGTGTTCAGTTTGAGCGAACTTTATTAAATGTGTGGCACATGGGAAAAGCTTTGATCTCAGGCCATCTTTATTCTAGAGCCACCTTTTTTTGATTGTATTAGACATACATTAACCTGGACCCAGAGCTTCTCAGCATCATTGTCTCCAGGTAGGGAATCCAGTGTGGCAAAATCCCTGTTAGGGTCACTGTTTAAATCTTGTCCCCATTTTGGAGAGCAAAGGACACATGTTCATGGCCTCTGATTGTTTTTTTCTTCTTCAATACTTTTTTTATAAATTTTTCCTCATAAAGTACAGCCATGTAATAACAATTCTTATATTTTCAGAGTCTTTTTCACATCGAATTATTCTCCCACCATTTATACAACTTTATCCATCTTTTATGAAATAGTTCTTCACCTTTTCCCTGCATTAACATTGTCAGTTTATTTATTTCAGCAGTTTCTAGCAGTTTCAAGGTATTTCTTTTTTAGTAGATAATTTTTCATTCTTCCAGTAACGAGCAATTAGTATTCTTGATGAAGTTAAAATATAAATTAACACATATCTGTCATCTGGCTCATAACAATCTGGGATAATATTTAATAAATTTATGTTAATAAGTCAAGATTAATCTTTAGGATTTCTAATATCATTTTTTTCACTATACTCCAATATTTTTGTATTTTTTCACATAAAATTTTTTGTATTTTTTCACAGGAAAGAAGGATCCTATATTATTTTTACACTTCCAGCAATTTTTAGAAATCAACCCTGTGCATTTGGCGATCTTATCTGGGGTCCAGTACCACCTATAAATCATTTTATATACATTTTCTTTAAATGATGTTGATTTAAAGTATCTTATTGACTTCCATATTTTATTCCACTCATCGACATCTATAGTATAGCCCATATCCTGCATCCATTCTACCATCTCATGTTTCACTACCTCATCTTGCATATAGTTCTCCAGCAGGAAAGCAGGAATCTATATATCTTTTGAATCAATTTATCGCTGGATGAGAGCCAAATTTTATTTATTTTGTTATTAGATATATAGAAGCCTCGGATTGTATCTTTGTTGTATACGGATCTTAATTGCGTAATTTCCGACCAAGTCAAATGTATATTTAATGATTGAAGTTTATCCAAGCTCTTTAATTTATTGTTTTTTTCCCAGTAGTATGTCATAAGACTCTTTCTGACTTTCTGTTATCAAAGTTGGTTTAATAAATGCCTCAAGCGGAGAAACCCATCTAGGGGTTTTCGTGTAGTAATTTGCCTTTAAATTTTGCCAACATTTTATCAACACACTTCTTATAATATGCTGATGAAAAGTCGAGTGGATTTTTTCCTTATTATACCACAAGTAAGCGTGCCAACCCATACTAAGATCGTGACCTTCCAAGCTTAGAGTTCTTGTATCCTCTAATGTTATCCAATCTTTCATTCATACTGTTGCCACTGCTTGATAATACAAGTCCCAATTCGGTAGTGCAAGCCCACCTCTTTCTTTTTTATCTCCATTTGATTCTTGCTTTTTTAGGATACCAAATACATTTTCTAGTAATCTTGTCCATCTCTATAAATAGTTGCTTATTCTTCAAGACTGGCAGGTTTTGGGCTAGAAATAGAAAACAGGGTAATATATTCATTTTAATAGTAGCTATTCTGCCCATAAATGAGAGCTTGTATATCCTTCCGTTTTAATAGTTCTCTTTTTATTTCTTCTATAAGTTTTTTATAGTTGTTTTCTATCAGTGCACTGTTTTGGCATTGTTATACCCAGATAATCCACTTTATTTGAAATCTCAATTTTAGAGATATTATAAATCTACTGATGTACATCTTTAGAACAGTTTTTAGTTAACATTTTTGGGGTTTGATGTTTATTTTAAGTCCTGCGACGTCCCCATATTTTTGAATTGTATCTAATAATGTTGTAATAGATGATATGGGATCTTCCAGAATGAAAACCAGATCGCCTGCAAATGTTTGTAGTTTGAATTCCTCCCTCTTGTTTTTCACTCCTTTTATTTGTTCGTTGTCTCTCACCATGTCGTTTAGAGATTTTAGTATTAAAATAAATAATAACGGAGATAGAGGACAACCTTGCCTTGTTCCCTTCTGTATCTCTATGCTCTCTGTCATGTCCCCATTAATCATAATTTTTGCATGTTGTTTTTTATATAATGCTGTTATCATAGAGAAGAAGTTGGGTCCACAGTTCCAAATTTTTAGTTTTTGAATCATAAATTCCCAGGAGACACTGTCAAATGCTTTTTCCACGTCTAAAAAAATTAATGCTAGCTGTTTTTCAGAGTGCTTTTCATAGTATTCTAAGACATTCATGACATTTCTTATGTTATTTTTAATCTGTCTTTTCGAGAGGAAACCTGCTTGGTCTTGATGGATTGTTTACATAAGTATTCTTTTTAGTCTTGAAGCTAGTATATTCGCGAAGATTTTATAATTGACATTCAACAATGAAATAGGACGGTAGTTCTTTATCTCTTTGTCATCTGTTTTTGGTTTATGAATTAATGTAATAAGAGCTTCATTCCATGAATCCGGTGTCTTTTCTTCTATGATTATATTTTGTAGTAGATTTTTAAAAGGCATAAATATCTGTTCCTCAAATTCTTGATATATTTCCGCAGGTAGACCATCCAGGCCTAGAGATTTATTTTTACCCCCTGTTTTTTAATCGCTTCAATTATTTCACATGGAGATATAGGATCATTTAAGATTTTCCTTTGTGTGTCGTTAAATTTCTCATAGTTATGTAGCAAAAGAAATTCTTCTATTTGTTGTTTTTCCAGGGTTTCTTGCTTATATAACGTTTTATTAAAGTTTTCCAATATTTTTTTAGATCAAGAGGGTAATGTTTTATTTCATTTCTGTCATTTTTCAATGATATGATCAATCTTTTCTCTCTCTTTTTTAAGTTTGTAAGCCAGCCACCTAGTGGGCTTATTAGCATTTTCGAAGTAGTATTGTTTGGTGATTTCTATATTTTTGGCTATTTCCTGTGTAAGTAAAACATTCCTCTGGTGCTGTAGCAACTTTAACCTAGTTTTTATTGTTTCTTCTTCTGGCAATATCTTCATTTTATCTTCCTCATTTTTAATTTTTTTCTTTCAAGTTTTCATTTTTTTTCTTTCTCTGTTTTATCTTCCATGCACTTTGATTAATAAACCATCCTTTCAGGAAGGCTTTAAAGGCATCCCAAACAATATTTATAGGCATTTCTGGCTGCAAATTTCTTTTAAAACATTCTTGTATTTCTGTTTTTGTTCTTCCTATCAGTTCTCAGTCTTTCAATAGTTTGGTGTGCATCTTCCATCTGTTTTTTTTTTCCAGTTGTGATCTGCAAATGTACTCGGTAAAATTTCTACCTCTTTTATATCTCTTATCATTGAAACTGTGGTCCAAGCCTTATCTATCCTGGACCAGGGATTGTGTCTGGCTGAATAGAAGGTATAGTTTTTCCCATCCATATTTCTTGTTCTCCAAACATCTATCAATGAGTATTCCTCCGCTGTTTGTAGAAAAGTTTTAGGTAATGTATTGCCTGTTTTGGTGTTTCCTCCCCGGCTTTTCCTATCAATTTTGGGATAAAAAACTGCATTAAAGTCGCCCAATATGCATATATCTTCAAAGTTTCCCATAATCAAAATATTCCATATTTCTACAAAGAAACTTTCTTGGTTTTGATTGGGAGCGTATGTTTATTATCATCTTTTCCCCTTCTCTCATTATTGATACAGCTACTATTCTTCTGGGGCTGTGGTGGCTCAAGTGGTTAAGACGCTGAACTGCAGGCTGTGTAAGGTCAGTAGTTTAGCAGTTCGAGACCCGAGTTGCCGCATGACGGCGTGAGCTCCCGTCTCTAGTTTCAGCTCCTGTCAACCTAGCAGTTCAAAAGCAAGAAATTGCAAGTAGATAAATAGGTACCACTTCGGTGGGAAGGTAACAGCGTTCCGTGCACCTTGGTGTTTAGTCATGTCGGCCACATGACCACGGAAACCTCTTTGGACAGCGCTGGCTCTTCGGCTTTGAAACGGAGATGAGCACCGCAACCCTAGAGTCGGACTCGACTGGCTTTCGAGCAAGGGAACCTTTACCTTACTATTCTTCCATCTTTTGATCTATAAAGTATTTCTGGATGCAAAGATGCTTTTACATATGTAGCCACCCCCTTTTTTTTCTTTTCATCTGCAGCAATAAATACATCTCCTATTTTTCTGTTAATCAAATGTTTTGTATTTTTTCCCCTTAATATGGGTTTTTTGTAGACATGTTATATCTGGATGGTATTTTATTATTTGTTGGAAGGTTCTTCTTCTTTTTTAGGGATTATTGAGACCATTAACGTTGATTGATAATATATTCAGTTGTCTATTTGCCATTGTAAATGTTTATATTTCTTGTAGTGTTATTCCTATATTGGAATCTAGTAGTCATTTGTGATGGTATTATTCTTTTAGATCCCACTCCTGTTTTACACATTGTTTTCTTGGGTTTCCCATTTTTTTGTGTCTGGCCCTCTCCTTCTGTTTCTGCTCTTTTCATTTCAATCCCATCGTCTTCTTTTTCTTCTCCCTCTTTCTATTCCTCTTCTTCTTGTTGCCAACCTAAGTCTTCCCCATATTTCTCCAGAAAATTTTCCACCTTAAAGACTGAATCTATTCTGTGTCTTCTATCTTTGTAATTAAATAGTAGTCCTTCTGGTATTAACCATCTATAAGGCACATAGTTTTCTCAAGAGGTTTGTCAGTATGGTATAATTCTGCCTTTCCCCCCGCACTCTCCAAGGTACTTCCTTTAAGAATTTTATCTCTTTTTCTCTAATCATCACTCTGTTTTCATTAAGAGCTTTTAATATTTTATCTTTAGTTTCTCTCTTATAGAATTTTATATGGACCTCCCTTGGTATCCTGTTCCTTTTTGCATACGCCGAGTTTCTTCTATAAGCAGTGTTCATCTCAGCAAGCAGATCCTCCTTAGTTCCTATTTTTAGTTGGTCTGCTATATTTTGAGCACATTCTTCCTTTAAGTTTTTATCTTAGTGTTTCCTCCATTTTATTATTTT